CGGGAACGGACTGGATCGCGCCCGAACGGGCGTGGGAATCGGATCGGGATCGGATCGTCTGAGGTCGCGGTCAAGTCTGAGGATCGGATTGGATCGCGCCGAATCGCTTGCGGCCCTGCCTGGCGCCAGGGAAGGTGTACTCCAGCATGAAATTCGAGACGCCCAGCAGGATCTTCAGCCCGACGCCGCTCCTGTGGCGCCCCGCGAACAGGTTCCCACCCGTGGAGACCAGCGCGACCGCCTCTCCGAAGGCACACAACCACGCCGGTGCCGGTGCGCCCCCCTGCCTCTGTCGTGGGTCCTGGTGCGCACTCTGGCCAGGATCTGGGGAAGTGCACCTGGCCAGGGCAACGATGGCCCCACAAGGAAGCCCAGAAAGGAGGGAGGAGGGAGGAGGGAGGAGGGAGGGAGGAGGGAGGAGGGAGGAGGGAGGAGGAGGGAGGAGGAGGGAGGAGGAGGGAGGAGGAGGGAGGAGGAGGGAGGAGGAGGGAGGAGGAGGGAGGAGGAGGGAGGAGGAGGGCGAGAGCGAGGAGCGGGCACCCGTATCGGTGCATACCTCTCTCCCCCGGAGCCTCCATGCCGAGCCCCACCATGTGGTAGCCGCTGGTGTCGCACCAGCCCAGGGACACCTGGCAGCTCGCGCCGAGGCCGGTCGACGCCCGCACCCTCAGGGTCATGGGCGGCCTCTCCCCGCCCAAGTTGGCCTCGCCGCCGCTGGCGGCCTCGCCCGCGAGCGTGCGGTCGAGGTCCGCCGCGTCCACGCCCAGCCTCCTGGCAATCTCGCCTGTGCGCGAGCCGAGGCCCTTCGCGGAGCTGCCCAGGACCCTGCTGGCCGCCTCTAGCACCTCGTCCACCTCTGAGGACAGCGCGCAGCCACTCATCCCCCCCGCCAGGACCCCGACTCCAGACCCGGTGATCCGGGGTGTCATGTCTGGGGGTGAGGGTGGGTTCCTGGTCCCCAAGAAACTCCCAAACCACCCCCACACCCAGCCAGGAACCACGTGGATTACCAGGTCGGGAGTGGGGATCCTCGCTGGGGGTGGGGGTGGGTTGTGCTGTCCTCGACGTCAACCTTGGCGGAATTCGCCATCGCGCCGATGGCCGAACCCATCGAAGCGGCATTCTCACCGAGGCGCCGTCGAACGTCCGCGTGGAGCTCTTCCAGCGAGTGCCCCGACCCTTCCGCCTCGGCGAACGCCCTCACGCCAGACTCGAAGCGCAGGCCATCGCGCACGTCGCCCATGCCAACCTCGGCGACGACGTTGCCGACCTGTCCGCCGAACTTGAGCTGAGGCTTGACGTCGACGCCGTTCCGGCCCACGGAGAAAGGCCCCAGGTGCATCACCCAGCCGTAGGAGTCCAGGGCCGCCTGCAGCCCAGACGGCGTGCAGCTCCAGTGGTCCGCCATGGCTTCCTTCCCCTCAAGCACTGGCCCCTCGTTGGAGGTGGCGTCGTTCGCTACAGACTTCGCCGCCATCGCCGCCATCGCCGTGGCGCAATTCAGTTCGAAGGATAGAACCACTGCGCTGCAAATCGAGCCACGACTCACAACAAGGACTTCATATATGATGGTGATGGTAATGTGGTGGGAATGTCCCACATTATGCTGCTGCTGATGCTTATGCTGATGCTCATGATGATGATTCTGATGATGTTTTTGTGATTCGGCACACTTCCCGCCTCGGTGCGCACCATTCGATACAGTATTGAGGTCAGAGTTCGGTCACTCCGTGGTGGGCGGTAGAACGCCCAGAAACGACAACGCAGGAGAGAGACGAACCAGTGAGGCGACAGAGCGAGGAGACAACACGCCAAGAAGCATGACCGCAAGAAAACAGGACGACGAGGAATATAAACAAACAAACAGTTCAACCACGCAGGTACGATTACAGCCAACAGGAGATCAGGGATACCGACTCCCTCACTGACGCCCGGGGACCCGAGGGCCATGGGGAGAAAACCTCCGTGCCACCAGCAGGCCCGACCGCGAACTGGCGAACATCATTAGTCACGCTGCTCTCTGGCTCTACGACCTCTGCGTCAGGAGGAGAGACAACGATCCCCTGATCTCAACACCTCCGAGAGGCGCGGCAGATCCCAAACAGTGAGCATCGAGCAAGGAAGAAGACTCCAAGAACGACTTCTGCATACAAGCATCGATCCCAACCAAACTACTGCACCCGCGGTCGTAGAGCACTGGGGCGCGGGCCTCGGCAGCAGCAGCGCACGCGGCAGCGCGCCGAGACACTGATCCCCTGACGAACCTAGACTGGCGGGCTTAACTACTTACGGTCGGCCTCTCGATGAGGACCTGGGTGGGTTCCAAGCATCGCGCCCCGCCCGAAACCTGAGGCAGCTCCAGCCGATGTAGAAGACACCGGTGACGCCCTTAACCACGGCGAGCGGCACCAGAGCCAGGTAGGTGACGGACAGCCCCTGCAGAAGGGAGACGAACATCGCCTCCAGCACGAGGGAGGTTGGCACGACCCGCAAATGGACGGGGAACAACTTGACCGGAGGCATCCCCAGCGACCCACAACGAACAGCCCCCCCCACGAGGTCGAGGACGGCGAGGCCGCGGAACAGCAACGTAACTGTGACCATGATGAGCGGAAACAAGGAGTCGATCCACACCAGGCTTTTGAAGATCACTAGGGATGCCAGAAGATCCACACCGCCTGGAATATCGCCACGATCGCGCCAAACATCAACGTGACGAGGCAGAGGATCAACACCACCATGAATATCCGCAGGGCCTCCAGGGAGAGAAGCACCATCAGGAATATCGCCACAACCATAGCGATCAGGGGGACGTTCAGCGCGAAGGACTGCACGAGCGCAAGGCACTGAAAGCGCAGGGAATGCATGTACCAGCGGAAGCCGATCCACCTGCGCATCGACATCAGCCACAATGCCGCCACGAGTCCGCAGCATTTTGCGCAGCGGGCCAGCTGGCCACGGATCGCAGCCTCCACTCCAGGGGTCCTCAGTGCCACGGTCAGGGCCATCACCGCCTCCACGGCGATGGCCACAATCTCCGCGGCGAAAGTCGCATCCATCATCGCCACCTCCACCGTCCGCACCGTCGTCGCCTCCGTCGGCGCCTCCATTAACAACGGGAGCATGAGGCCGGCGCGGCTGCAACCAGAAGGCCATCTCTGCCATGCCCGAGGAGTGCAGGTGTCCCTTGTCCATCGCAACATGGGTCTGCAGCAGGCCGCGGAATGCAAGCACTCGGTCCCGAAGGTACGCTTGAAGAAGTGGCGACGCAGGCCAACAGGATCCAGCACGAACTTGTACTTGATTTTCCTGATGCCCCCGCCTGGCTGATGCACAGATGAAGCTGTCGACCGCAGCGACGCGCTCGAACGAACATATCGCGCTGGGAAGGAGGCAAGGGAAGGGCGGAAACCGCTTCCTTAGCAAGTGCTTGGTCGAAACGGCTATGATGACGGTGGTCGTGGTGGTGGTGATGATGATGATATTGAGGATGATGACGCTGCGAATGATCATGATGATGATGATGCTGATGATGATGATGATGATGATAATGATGATAATGATGATGCTGCTGATGATGATACATATTATGCTGATGAGTGGTGATGATGACGATGCTGATGATGATGGTGATGATGATGCTGATGGTGTTTATGCTGCTGTTGATGATGATGATGATGATGATGATGATGATGATGATGATGATGATGATGATGGTGCTGATGGTGCTGATGGTGCTGATGTTGACGGTGATGTTGCTGCTGATGATGCTGATGATGCTGATGATTATGATGCTGACACTGATGCTGATGCTGACGGTGGTTCTGACGATGACCATTATCATTGTGATCTTCGCACTTTGCGGGCACTGTGCGCAAAGGGTACAGAGCCACGGACCCCCGCTGAGGTCGAGAGAGCCGCTCCCGCACCCGCAAGACACCAGCGCCGAGAGGGGAGCAGCTCACCGTAGCACGAGGATGTAGTGTCTCAATCAGCTGGATGGGAGGTGAAGGCACTTCATGGGAGGTAAAGGCGCTTTTAAAAGAACTCGGAACTCGGATGTCCTCGAAAGTCCGCCAGGAGTGGCACTGCTGGGGGGTGTGCAGGGCGCGGAACGCCTGCAGACCAAACTCTTGAGGGAAGGGGCAGGAGAGGAAACGAAGAGGGGGGCCTCGCAGGGGACGGGGGGCAATGGGAGTGGGATCCAGGTGCGGCCGCTTGCTCACGGCGCCCGTGGCCGAGGCAGGCCTGCGCCCAGCGCCCGCCTTTCACCGAGAGCTGTAGAGGCGCCAGCGACGCTGATGAGCTGCGCGAGGCAAGGGCCTCTGCCGCCAAACGAAACTGCTGGCGCCTAGCCGACGGGGAAGCCGTCGACAGCGAGTGCTACTGCGAGGGCCACATTGCGGCATTGCAAGAGAGCAAGCGAGGCGGCCACGAACCGCCCCACGCACCACGCGGCCAGCCAAGCTCAGGAGCATGCCGTCGCCACAACTGACCTTCAGGTGGGTGCCCTGCACACTGGGCGCGCAGACGAGACATAATCCGTCGTGTGCCCAACTGGCGCGCCGCCCTGGGCTCAGGCTGGAGGGGTGGGCCGAGGTGCCTGAGGCGCGCCATCCGAAGCACTTCTGGCATCCGTGCGGACAGGTGTCCGTTGCAATTCCCGCTGTCGATTTCGAAAGCCATCCGATCAATGCGTCTCCGCCAGGGGAGCCTCGATCAAGGCGTCCCGGTTGACCACCACCACCACCTTGGCTGCTGCCACGGCGGTGGCGCAGCCCTCCTCGTTTCCGCCGTCGTGGGCGCCCCGCCTCGGGTGCGGCTGCAACCACCTCCTCCAACCATGTGCCAAGAGGCGTCGCGTTGGTCGTCGCGCCCGCCTCGCGCGGACCAGCCGCCGCGCCGGGCCACGCGGGCGCCGGGGCGCCAAGTACCACGCTGGCGAGCGCGACGCGATCGCTTGCGGGGCCGTGGCTTGGAAGCTCAGAGGCCCAGGCCTCACTTGAAGGGCCTGGAAAATGGTGGTGATCTTCTTCTTCTTCTCTCCCCGTTGAGACTCCCTGTTCGCCTGACGAAGCGCGGTGCATGGGCGACAGCCAACTGGAATCACGGTCGCGAGGCCTACTGAAAGTCGAGGCCCCCTCGATAGCACGATGGGGCCTGCTGCGCACTTTAAGGTGACGAGATAAAACGCGCGAGCGGAATCATACGTCAAGAAGCACTGGCCCCCAAACAAGCACTGGAGCGGCACTAGCGGCAGCTGGCCGCCAGCGCCCACACGCTTGCAGGGCGCATTCAGACGTCTGAATGCCGCCCACTGCTGCCAAAAACGCCAGCGGTCGAAAACTTCAAATCCCACGAAGCTTCCGCTTTCGCGAAACATCTCTCGAGTGGCACACACTAGAAGAGGGGGAAGGGATCTCACGATAAGCCGAGAGGCCTCTCAGATACTCCGCTGGCCCTCCATTCTCGCAATGAGCTCTAGATTCGGAACGAACTCCATCACATTGAACTCTAGATTCAGAACGACCTCCCCTATCGTAGTGAACTCTGGACTCAGAACGACCTCTATCACGGCCAACTGCAGCACTGAATTCTGAGCGAACTCCGCAGCCTGGCCCACTCGAGGTCGCATGGGCTCCCAACTCTCGGGATCTCACGACTGCGGCTGCTCCTGGAACTCGCCCAGCTTCACGAGGCCCGCGACCACTGTCCGAACGTTTGGATTGCGTGGAGGAGCCCCTTTCTTGATCTCCACCTCTGGCTTGAGAGCGATGTCATTCATGATCTTTGTTGCCACCGTCCTCACCTCGGGTATGACTAGCAGCTCTATCTTGAACCTGTCCTTGTCGCCCCACGCTTTCTGACGGTAGCACTTCTTCTGGAAGCACGTGATCACGTGCGCTCCCACCGCATTGATGTCCGACTGGCTGGTGTGGTACGCGATCAGCGCGGTCTTCTTCTTGTCTGGGACTGACTTGTCGGCTCGCACACAGTTCACCAGCTCGATCCAAGCTCGAACGTGAGAGGGCACCAGTTGGGAGCGCTCCTCGGAGGTGGTGGTGGCCTGCTTCTCCTGCTCGTAGGCTTTGGCTCCCTTCCTGATCGACTCGAGGTATGGGTGATGTTCGTCGACGAGCGCCACCTGTCCCAGCACGCCCTGGATTCGCCTGTTGGAGCTGTCGATGCCCACCACGCTCTTGGCCGTGTTGATGGCCAACTCCCTCACGTCCTGATCCATGCCCGCCGAACCCACCGCTCTGTGCTTGGTCGCTGGCGTCGCCGAGGGAAGGGCCATCAGCTTGTCCATCTGCGACGGCGAGAGAGGGCTCCACGTGCGTCCCTTCGGCAAAGTGCGATCTGATGTGCTCGTGTAGAGCGGGTAGGGAAGAGAAAACCACTGTCGTGCACGAGAACGGACACGCGAGAACTGCGGGCGCCTGGAGTGTCGCCAGGCCTGAGATAGCTGAACCCCCACGTACAGGGCAGCTCGGTGGAAGCTTCTGCCCTCGAGCCTCAAGATGTCGACGGACCGTATCCATGCTGGAAAAACACCGTTCACACCGTGAACATTGGTTACACACTGCTGCCTGACGCCATCGAGCACGCATATGATGATGATGATGGGTTTGGTGGGCCTTGAGCTGTCGCAGGGAATGACACGCATACGTACATCGGCACCCCGTCGCTTCCATCATACCACACACATACAACCCAGGACCATTGGAAAGGCGCAGATGAGGTTCGGTCAGGCGGGCACTGCGGGGAAGCCAGAGAAGATCACGAGGGGGTCGGAAGAGACGAACGTCGGATTCGAACAACCCAAACCAGCCGCGAACTGCCAACACCTCCCGAGCACGTGGCCGCAGACGCCCCAAATCGGATAAGTCCCTGCCCGAGAGCTTAAACCACGGGTTGGCCTCGTGAGTGGGTTTGCCTCGGGAGGTAATCTGAGGTGGGCCGTCGCCGAAACGGCCAGTGAGAGCAGCGAGGAGGGCCACGTTATGTCGAGGACGCTGGGCAATCTTGTGTACCCACGCCAGTCGCCGATACTGTAGGGCATTCTCCGCCTTGGGGACTGCCAGCACGGCCCGCGCCTGTTCGTTTGACAAAGTACGGCATTTGACTAGGGTCCGCTGGTCATCGAATTCTTTGACATTAGCACCGCCCATAAGCAGTACCCGACCGTGCGACTGCACAAATCTGTCGATCTGGTCATGCAAAGATTGAGTAGGAAGCCACGCCTCCCCGCCTGAAAGATACGAGCTGTAAACTAGACCCAGAAACACAGGTCGTTCGATCTTCATGGGAATACCCTTCTGGCCCCCAGAAATGTCCCATCGCTGCCCATCCATTCCTCGCCACCTTCTGTCTCTCCCCATACTCATGATATTCCCACCCGTCCGTCTGATGATATGCGCCCAAGTGTCTAACTACAAGTTTGGCCACGCCAGGAAGCTTGGCATGCTGGTAAAACTGCTTCATCTCGGCAGGAGCCCCTTTCCCGTACTGTCGAAGCATGAGCTCTTTCTTGTCCAGGTTCTGTTTCAAATTCAGGGGTGTCGCGACGATCTGTTCAAGGGCCTCGTCCCAGTACTCAAGTTTCCGCACGGCCTCCTGGGCCCCCTCGGCTAAGCCAGAGCGCTCGAGATCGTCAGCGTACGCTCCATACGGGGCATCAACTTCAGCACGGGAAACGTGATCCTGAACCGTGAAGAAGGCAACCTCCTGTGGCGTTCGGGTCTGTTCGACCCAAGCGCCCACTGCAGGAACAAACACTTGCAGAAAGCGGTCAGGTGCAGACTGATCTCCTTGCAAGTCCCCGCACCCTAACGCGAACAAGCTCCACTCCCCCGAGTCAGTCTGCACCAGAGTCACGGCATGGCGGTGACGGCCGACCACGAGCGCCGCGTCCGCAGCGGTCAGGGTCCGAAAAATGGTGGCGCCTAACGCCGTGCGAGACACAGAGGCAAAGGCATTGGCTTGATCATAAAAAACCGTGAACCAACCTAATGATTGCTCGGAGAGTTGCCAGCGCACCAGTTTGTGCTGAAGGATCAGTTGTTCCCGTCTGCGGCCTTCCCTAAAGCCAGCACTGTGATGGGTCGCGTAACCCGTCCGACGCCGCCAGATCGTCCCGATGAAGGCTTTGCCCACGGGGTCCAGCAGGTGGATAAGACGCTCACCTTTACATTTGATCTTG